TATTAACACAGAAGATTCTTAAATATTATTTTTCAAAAAAATATGTAACTAAGCTATAGTTTATAAATGAGATCTCACTTTGGTCGGGACCTTATGGTCTATCTGACGCCAAACCACCCGAGTTATGACAAAATAATGATAATTCTCTTTAACAACATATATAAAACCTCCCCAATAGAAAACATAAGATCTACCTAAAGAAAAGACAATAGTAAACATGAAAAACAATGGTCGTATTAGTTTCCCTAGGTATTCATTTATGTTTAATCAAAAGTTTCAATATACTACCTCCGATCCTTAATATAAAATCTAATTAATTAATTTGGAGATATTAAAAAAAATTATTAAATTATTAAATTATTTTAAAATATTTATATTTATCATTTTTTTAAAACTAATTTACCCCACTTATAAGTTGATGTATAATCAAATGATACTTATAACCATGTTAGAGAGGTCATGTAAATATGCTATAATTAAGTAATTTAGTAATTTTTTTTAATCTTTTTAAATTAATTAATTATTTTTTATATTAAGAATCAGAGATAGTATTGCATACAACCTGTTGAGACATATTGACACAAAGTAACAATTTGATCTTTTTCATGCTTTCTTATCACCAACGCATCAATCAATTCTTTTGTTTTTTCAAAAAGGAGAAAACAGTGCAATCAAGCGGGGCAACAATCAAATTGGAATTCCGCTTGAAGAAGAAACAACGACAAAAGCTAGCGTCAAACATACTTTTAATATGAGACATTTTTTTTTTCCTTGATAGACCTTTTTATATATTTATAATCAATTATCAAATATCTATATCATCTTTATTGTGTGTATGTGTGTGTGTGTTTATTCGTAAGCAATAAGTAATATGGCCTGATCTCTTAAATTCGTTTGATATTGAAAATTCAAATTTAATTTTAACCTAAATCTAATTGAGAATCTTTGAACAATAATGACATAATTAATTATATTTGCTATACGCTCCTTGTTTGCCTCAACGATCCCAGTTCAAAGTAACAACTTTCTTTTGTATGTTTTTCCTTTTTGCCCTTTCTTTTTTTCTTTGCCTATAAACTGATTGGGCGATTTAAAAAGAATCCCAATTAAAGAAAGAAAAGGCGTTGCTTTGGTAAATTTTTTTACTTTATATTATCTTGGACAACCGAATAAGACAGATGACAGTATTGTTCAAAGAATTTGCACTTTGCTTTACTTTTAACTTTTATATGCTCAAACTTTGTGGTCCAATAAATTAGACTATAGGACATTTTGTTTTTATGCGACGGCTCTCCTTTCAATCAATCACACGTACAACGGGTTTTCTTTAAAATAAATATGAATAAGATGTGGAAAAAATTCACGTCGAATAATTTTTTTTATTTTTAAAAACGCTTGCATAGGATTACTATTACAGAGGAATAAAGGATAATTATAAGGGAAATCGTAGATAACTTACTATATTTGTAGTAAATGGTTCGAATTTTACTATTCTTTTTCATGTTTTAAAATTTTACCAAACATTAAATCTAAACCATTCACTAGAAATCTAACATCCAAGTTTACTGGAGAAATGAAGTGGATAGAAAGCGCAGGCGGAAAAACTGATGAAATTGGAAAGATACGTACATTAAACACAAATTATAGATACACAAATAGACTTAGACTCTGCTCATTCCAAACTTCTTCCCCTTGATCAAAAAGTGAAACACTCAAAGGTAAATCAAGAGCAAGCAGGGTTAGATTTTTTAGATTATTCTAAGCTGAGATCAAGGGATGATTAAGGGATAACAGTTGGGCGAATAATGAATGGTTCAATGGGCTGGTCTTTGAAAATGTGTTTTTTGACTGAAGGTCTTGGCTTGAGTTTTGCACGGAAGAGACATGATACAGGTGGAGGTGAAGGAGGTTTTGGTGAGGAAGAGGAAGTTTAATTTGATCAGGAGAGAGATGAGTGTTTTGTTTTGACGTTTGTGGATGGGGCGTGGTTTGAGAGAGCTAAGGTGAGGGTTGAGGTGTGGTCTTTTCCTAGATGAAGGTGGAGATTTATGTGGTGAGGTTTGGAATTTTTATGGGAAAATCAGATTTGGGTATGATGATTTGAGTGAGCAAGGTGTTGTTTCCTTTGGTGAGGGCTTAGGTGAGTTTTGACGTGTAGTTTTAGGTGATGTGATGGAATGGATGAGGTTGGATAAGTTTTGAGATTGAGTTCTCTTTGAGGATTTGAAAGAGGAAGAAGATGATAAAGATAAGGAGGATCATGTAGGTGATTTTTCTAGGATAGAAGGCTAATTTCAAGTCTCCATTCAAAAGAATATTCGTTGGTGATTATTTGGTCAAGTTTGGATTGTAGGTTCAAGTATTGCTGGTAAAGAAATCTAGGACTAATGGCTTAAGGTGGTTGTGCATGTGTTATAACACGCTGATTTTTAATTTCAAGGATTAATGTAATTAAGCATTGATTTGTATGGGAGTAGAGGTTAATATTGCTGATTGAGGTTAATTTAAGGCTTAGAAACATTAAGAATGATAACTGAAAGTCATATCTTTAGCAAGGTACTGAAAATCGAACTGGCAACTAAATCAAACAAGGTAGTGGGTCAAGCAGGTCATAATTAAAATGATATAATTTAACTTAAACATACAAATAATATTCATGTATAATCATAAAAAATGATATTTAATTAAAAATATATTAATTTATAACTAAATAACATTTGAAACTCTAATTTAAAGCTAGTCATCAACTCTATTTAATAGATAAAAGACAAAAAATGCTAAAATATCTATTATATATGTCTACCTATTAAATAAAGTAGTACTTTGCAATGTGTGTATATAATTTTTTTTTTTTGCTTATGATTTATGAAAGTGGTTTATCACTGCATCATATTTTTTTCCTTAAAAAATGTGTATTCATCTGGTCTAATAGTATATGCTTATACTTGAGCATCATTAGCTGTTGGCTTAGGGTTGGAGTGATGTTTCTTTTAAATCGATAAAACAAAAAAAATCTTAGGGTTAAAGCATATGCCTAACAATTCAATGTATTGTATTACGTAATATGGTTTTTCTCACTTTTCTTCTCTTAGCTTCTCATCATTATCTCCTTAATAGCTCTAATCCATTTCTCTGTCTTTGTTATTTTTTCTTCTTTTTCTCTTATGGTCTCTATAGTCTCCCATATGCATCTCCTTTTTGGTTACTTTTCTTCAATCTACCTCCACTTTCTTATAGGTATCTGTTCATCTTCTATCCCTTTTTTTCCTACTCATTTACTGAACCTGTTTTTCTTTTCCCTTCCATTTCCTCTTTCCAACTTCTTTTTTTATTTTCATCTACATAAAGGACATTGTTTTAAGTTTGTGAAATACTAAAAATCTAACTCAACAACATGCCTAACCTAAGGGGTTGGGCGGGTTATGATCAAGTTGTCCCGAGTCATACAGAGTCACCCCAGGTCACTTTTTTGCCGAGTTAGGTACTAGGCCGGACAAGTAAGATGAGCAGTTCATTGGTTTTCATGTCAACTCGGCTGGTTTGGTTGGGGTTTTAATACAATGATCTTTAGACATTTAGGGCTGCCTTGAAATTTGGGAGTTTTTTAGGGTCAAAAATAGTATTTTCCAATGATTTTTTTTTTAAAGCAGACATTTCAATCTTTCAAAAGAACCATAATTTACAAATTTTGAAAATGTATGGAATTAATAATGAATTTTTGAAATTAAGCCCCATTGCTGCCTATAAACATTTTGAGTCTTGGTAAATTAACATTTTTAAGAGGAGCATAATAACATTTTTGAGTAATTTTTTTCCTTTAAAAAAATATGCATCCCAAGATTTTTAATGAGTTCTAATTTATAATTTTTAGAGATGTGTAGAATTAATTATGAATTTTTGAATTTGGGTCAACCTTGTGTTGTTGGTCATAGTAAAAAAGCACTTTTGGCTATGGTGAACGTCACATAACCTATATATCAATCACAATTTTAAGTTGAAAAACATGATTTTTGAAGAGAAGTTTGTGGATGATGCTCTTAACTTTGTTAATTCTTCATATTTTTTTACCTCCAGGACACTCTTTAAGCTTTCAAATATTAAAGTAGGTGCTTTTAACTTGATTTCTCTCTCTCTCTCTCTGATTTTTTTTCAGATTTGGAATTTTGATAATTTAGGATTCATGTAGGATTTTGAAATGTCTAAGCTGTTGACTAAATTTTTTATAGATGAGTTATATGGACTAGATTAAAGGTTTAATCAATTTAGTTTTATTAGATTTTGAGTTATATATGTGATTTTGAGTTAGGACTTGGTTCTAGAGTTAGGAAATTGATGAGAATTAATAATGAGGTTATTCATATTATGGCTTAACACTTGGTTTATATTTATATGAGTTAATTTAGAGATTTGATTAGTTTAGTATGTTAATATTGATAGTTTTACTCAAGTGGGTATGTTGAAGGTTGAAAATCATAAGCGTAAGTTGGGGATTTGACAAGAATGGGTATTATTGAGGTTTGTTAATTCTAAAGAGAATTGTGAAATAATTCCTTGTATTATTCAAGAAAGAGGAGCCTATACATTAATGGCTCATTATGAGAAAATAATATCATACCAAATGCTATACTAATTGCATAATATTTACATAGCTTTTCATATCTTTACACTTTCCCTCAAGTTGGAGCATAGATGTTAATCATGCCCAACTTGTTACAAAAATAGTTAACCTGAGTCCCATTTAGAGCTTTAGTAAGCAGGTCGTCCAATTGATCACTAGACCTCATATGTCTTGTAGGAATAAAGTTTTTTTTGAGCTTGTCTCAGACAAAGTAATAGTCAATCTCAATATGATTTGTACATTCATGAAACACAAAGTTGGAGGCTATGTGTAGAGCAACCTTATCATCACACCACACTTTTGTGGGTAACGTGGTTTTGAAACCAACTTCTTTCAGTAACTAGTATATCCAGACTACCTCACACATGGATTATGCCATAGCTTAGTATTCTGCCTTTGCACTTGATCGAGATACCATATTTTGCTTCTTGCTTCTATAAGACACCAAATTTCCACCCATAAAGACACAGTATCTTGTAGTAGATTGTCTCGTGGCTTTTGATCTACCATGATCTGCATCACAAAAACACTTAATGTTTGTATGACCATGATTTTTGTATAGTGTACTACGACCTAGATATCCCTTCAAGTAATGTAAAACGTGCTCCAAGGCTTCCCACTGTCTAACAGTCAGAGATGCCATGAATAGACTAAGCACACTGATTGGATAAGTAATATCTGGGCAAGTCATAGTGAGATAGTTCAACTTGCTAATCAATCTCCTGTATCTCTCAGGACTCTCAAATGATTTGCTCTTCTTAGCCTCAAGTTTTCTCTTCTCATCATCGAGGGAATCCTCAAATGGTATGTTCCTATTAGCATCAAGGACTAGGTTATGAACCATAGAGAAACTAGTTGGTATAGCTCCTAATTTTCCAGTTTCCTTTAGCAAATCAAGGAAGTATTTCCTCTGTGTCAGGTTTCTTGCTCCTCATGACTTTAATGCCGAGAAAGTACTTCAAAAGGCCTAGATCCTTCATTTGAAAGTGAGAATTAAGAAAGGAATTGAGGGATGTGATCCCCAAACTATTACTACCTGTAATCACAATACCATCTACATACACAACCAGAAGAATTATGCCAGCCTCTGTCCTTTGGTAAAACATAGAATGATCACACTTGACATGGTTCAAGCCAAATTTTTGCACAATAGTACTAAACTTGTCAAACCATGCATGAGGACTCTGTTTCAAATCATACAAGGCCTTCTTAAGGTGACATGCTTCTCCACACTCCCCCTGAGCAACAAAACCTAGTGGTTGCTCCATATAAACTTCTTTATGAAGATCACCATGTAAGAAAGTATTTTTAATATCCAACTGATGTAGGTTCTAACCATAAGTAGCTACTATAGAAATAAACAGACAAATAGGAGAGCTTAGCCATAGGGGGAAAGTTTCTGAGTAGTCAATGCTATGGGTTTGGGCATAGCCTTTAGCCACAAGGCAAGCCTTGAGACGATCAAGTGTTTCATCAACCTTAGTTTTATGGGTGAACACCCACTTACATCCAATGGCCATTTTTTGGCAGGTAAGTCTGCTAAGGTCCATGTACCATCCTAATCAAGGGTAGCTATCTCCTTTTTCATAGCAGCACGCCAACTCGAGTGGGCTAAGGCCTTATAAAGAGTTTGGGGCTTAGAAATAGTGTCTACAAAGGCAATAAAGAAGTTGAAAATAGGAGAGAGATGGTTGCATGAAACAAAGGATAAAATAGGGTGGGCATAAGTACATTTACCTTTGCAAAGGGCAATAAGAAAATCAAATGAGGGGTCCATATCGGGGACAGGAGGTGTCTCAGAGTTAAGGTTGAGATTAGGAGCAAGGTAAGTGATGCTCAACTTAGGATCTAATGTCAAAGTAGACACGGGAGGATCAAAAACTGGGACAGTGGTAGTAGTCTCCTTTAATCTTCATGTGTAAACACGAGCCAAAAGTTGAACAAGTGCTTGAGCGAGTGCTTGAGCCAGCAATGATGGTGAAATGAAAGAATACACTAGAAGATCATCCTCCTCCACAGGTGGAGCAGGTGTGGAAGAAGGAGAGAAGTATGGTGTAGACTCCTGAAAGGTGATATCTACAGAAACTAAATACTAATTAAGGCTAGGCGAAAAACATCGATAACCTTTTTTAGCCCAAGAATACCCTAAAAAGATACATTTAATAGACTTAGGATCTAATTTCGAGATAGAGGGCTGTACATCCTAAACACAATAGATACATCCAAAGATCTTAGGAGCAATAGGGAATAGCTGACAACCAATCAATGCCCTTAAGCTGAAAATAAAATAAATCAATCACATATTAATTAACCTTTTTGTCATACTCAACATATAAGAAGAAATGCATAACACCTTAGGATTACTCCAAAAATAAACCAAATTAATACAAGATAGTGCACAATTCAGGTCATTTCTCTTTAAGAAGCTGAAACAAAATTAAATCCTCATAAATAAATGCATAGTAATCTAAACTAAAAAAATGAGTTTTTATTTGATGAACTGCCAACTAAATACCATGAATTAAATTAAATTTAAAGGACTTTTTTGTTGTTGTTGTTTTTATATGAAAATGATTTAGATAAAATGACGGTGAATGAATTGAGATGAAACGCACAAGAAGAAAATGATAAAGAACAATCCTTTAACTCAACAGTGTAAGCATTCATCACTTCAACAGATATAGGAGTTAAAACAACAACCCAAAAATTGTCTTTAAACTTTGAATCTAACAATTAAGCCACATCAAATTGTCACAATCATTTCTCGAAATCCCAACTTACTGTCATCAAAATAGTAAAATGGGATTAAGGATATTAAAATAAGCACTGTTTAAATATAAGCCAAAGGTTCACAAAATAGAATAAAAGATAGCAACATATATCACGATCTAATAATTCAAGCTACCTTGAAAAATCACAATATATTCACTAAAATTCCAATGCAAAGTCTTGACCCTAAACAAAATATATAGAATTAAAGTTATAAAAGCTCAATATTAGTTGCTACAAAGATTCAACTACTAGAATCCCCTAATAGAAACATAATGTCATTACAGAATTTCCAGACAAATCCTAAGATTTAGAAATCACTAAATAACAACTAGAAAGAAAGTAGCTAGAATTCCCCTATGAAGACCCAAGCTCCCACCATTGCTGCTGAATTGAAGGATTAAACGCTCTAGCCATAGACTGCCATCAAAGTCAAAGCCACCTTCAGTCAACCATAAACAGCCATGAAGAATGAGGAAGAAGGCAATAGTAATGATAAAGAAACAATAAGGATGATGACGAACAGTGGAAGACATTGAGGGAGATGGTAGACAGCAATGAATCGTGAAGGAAAATGATAAGAATGATGGATTGAAAGTTTGGATTGATGAGGAAGATAGGATAGGCTGAGAAGGGTAGAGGATAATGCTAAAACTAATGGAATAGTGGAGAACCAATAAAAGCATGGAAGACAAGAAGAAGATGACGGAGAATTAGAGAACATAAAGGGGAGAGGAAAGAGCGATGATGGAGTGAGGAAAAAGTAGTGTCAGTGATGGTGTGAGGAGGATTTGGTCAAGAGTAAAGGAATAGAGGTGTGTGTGAGATTCTTCCATCTCTTCCTTTTTGGTCTCTCGTTTGCATATAAAGAAGATGATGATTCCATCTTGAAATATTAGGGCTCTATAAAAATGAGGTCGTTTTGCTATTTTTGGTTCTTTTTTTATTTTCTCTAAATTAGGTCCTTTTTTGGATTTCTCTTGGTCCTTTATTGCCCTTAAAATTGGGACTGAAGTATAATTTGTAAATCTGCCAAAAAAAAATAAGGTAGCATAAATTATCCTTAAAAATCAAGTAATCACAATTAAACTAAAATATGACAATTTTGCTCATATAAATCAATAATTCAAAGCAAGGAACACTAATTCAATTAATAATCAAATAATGCATTATGGACTAATTGAAGTGACAAAAACCCATAAAAAAGACACAAAAATATGTATAAATAAATGAGTTTGTCACAGATATACCATGTCTTTGGAAAGCAAATGTACCGCTAATCAAATTAAGGGATGCCGTAATCTCTTCTTATGTTGTTGTAAGGACATGTCTTGGAACAGTGGAACAACTATTCTGAGGAATCTACTAAGCCTTTGAGTAATTATAGGTGAAATATCCCAACTTGAGATGCCAATAACACTACCAACATTATCTTGAATGCACATTTCTACATTTTTGGCACAGTCCATTGACATTTGGTGCAAACATAGAAGAATAGCGATTGGGGTTTTAGCTTTCCCCAACATGTCTCTTCTCAAGCTACTTCCTCTAAAAGTAACCCTACTGTGCAAATTCTTTTTGACTAATATTCTTGCTCCTCCACAAGATTCCTAAGCTCCTGTTGAATCTTTCATCAACTCCTTCAGTAAGTCTAACATGAGTGGAAAATAGTCCCTAAGCATTTTTTTCATGGAGTCTCTTTGGTACTCATACCATCACAACTAGTTAACCTCCCTTAATTTTTGACACTCATGTCCTCATGCCTATTTTCATTGGGGCATATATTATTGTAGTTTACATCCTCTTCTTCCTTCCTAGCCTTGTTTTCTTTAAAGTTTCTTATCTGTTCATCTATCACGACAATCAATATTTCTCTTATTTTGCTAAAAAGAGCCTCTTTACTTTGCTATTGATGTTCTTCAAGTAGGGACGATGTCTTATTTTTGGTGGGACCAACCTGTTTAGATTGCACCATCTCTATCTACCTAAAAATGCAACCCCCCCCCTAATAAAAAGTAAACACAACAACATAAATTTTTTTTAAAAAAAAACTATAGCTAATAGGGAAGGATATGAGTGAACCTTATAAATTGCCAATACATATATATAATGCAATACAAATCACATAGAATCTTAGAATCTAATACTAAATTGTAAATGCGGTTTTCCTAAACCAGTTGCTAACCTTTTTAACCACAATTTAATAATACCCATCATTGTAAAAAAGAAACTTGGTGAAATATTTAAAAATGCTACCATGATTATAAAAGAAACTTGAATCATAAGAATGGTCAATCATAATAGAAAATAGTTAAATCAATCATTAAAAATATCTATCATGGTTAAAAAAAAAAAACTTTGCAAAGCAATTGTGTAATAGCTCTTATGCTAACTATATACTTAGCACATTATTTTCACTACCCTTAATCATATAGAGCTTGATTCAACGACTAATGCCACATCTAAGGTTGTGCCTCTTTCATTCATATCATTTAAGTGTAAAAATGAACTTAAAATATTATAACTCATGCATAAGTGTCCATGTCTAAATTCAATACTAAAAACTCAAAAAGTAATTATAAGTAATGATGCAAATTAAGCATAGTCTCTATAACTCATCAATGATAAACATCCATTAACGTCTTAAGGTTATGGAAAATAGTAAAATATAACTCTCACTTCTCATATGCGTTCTTCTGCTCCTTAACATGATTCTTCACCTGAAAAGCTGTGAAAGAATTGGAATAAGCATTTAACATCTTAATAACACAATCCTACCACATGTATATGAACCAATTAAATTTTATATATATACGAACATGACCAAATTATGTATATATACAAATAAATTATATATATACACACAAACCAAGTGAAACACAAGCAACCCAAGCTAGACTCTGGCTCCCCTCTTTAAATGTATAATTGTCCCACATTCTTATGGAATTGAGCTCTATAAATTATTGTCCTATGTTCCCATGGAACGAGATATTGCAAGATATTGTCCCACGTTTTTAAGGGATGAGGCCTTACAAAATATTGTCTAATGCTCGTCCAGAGCAAAGCCTTATAATT